TTTTTTTGCTATATGCTCCTCATATTCCTTTTTTGCCTGCCTGATCACAAACTTGCATTTTATTTGCCACAGTCTGTGTTTCCTTTTGTCAACCTCACTGAGACTAGCTTTCCACCACTTCTTAGCTTTTACAGCTTCCATTGCTTTGTTAGTTAACAATGCAGGCTTTTTCCTATACCTATTTGTGCCTTTCCTAACCTGTTGTACATATTTTTTCTGAGCCTCTATGGTTTTTAATTTTAAGTAGTCTCCAAGCTTCCCCAATGGTTTTGACCCTTTCTACTTTTCCTTTCAGTTTCTTCCTCACATGTCCCCTCATATCAGAGAAGTTACCCCTTTTAAAGTTAAAAGTGCTTGTGTCAGTCTTTTTGGGCAACTCCCTATTTATACAAATGTTGAACTCAATAACATTATGGTCACTGTTCCCAAGTGGTGCAATCACTTTTACATCTCTCACCAGGTCTTGGGCATTACTTAAGACCAAATCCAGGATCGCCTCTCCCCTGGTAGGTTCCGTGACCATCTGCTCCATAGCACAGTCATTAAGAGTGTCTAGAAACTCAATCTCTTTTTCCCGACTAGAACACATATTGACCCAATCAATGTGTGGATAGTTAAAATCACCTATTATGACACAGGGGTGGTTTTTTTTGTCTAGCCACTATCTTTACTTCATTCATCATTTTATAATCCTCCTCCATCTTTTGTTCTGGTGGGTGATAACATACTCCCAGTGTTAAGCTTCCTTTTGGGCCCACTATTTCAACCCATAGCATTTCCAGAAGCAAATCCAATTCACTTTTCCTCTCAATCTTACTGGACTGTATACCCTGGACAGTGGTGTGACCACCAGACAGCTGATAAGAGGGTTTTTGGCTGGCCCAGTATCGGAGAGGCTGTAGCTCAGTGGTAGAACATCTGCTTGGTAAGCAGAAGGTCCTAGGTTCAATCCCTGGCATCTTCACTTAAAAGGATCTGGCAATAGATGATATGAAAGACCTCAGCCTGAGCAGACAAGACTTGCGTTGATGGACCAAGGGTCTCATTCGCTATAAAGAAGTTTCATGTGTCCATGTTCTTATGGCACCAGAAAGAGGTAGCACAATGGTGAGTTTGCATTGTGGTTGGACTGTGACAATGCCTTCGACTGGCCAGGAGATGGCACAACAGAAACAGATGGTGTGGGACCAGAAAGGCCAAAAATTGGGAATAGAGAAGACCCGGGGTAAACGGAACATCCAGGCAGGAGCAAAGGAAACTATGAGAAGGGGTGCATGGTGGAGAGTCCCAGAGGCAGCCAACAGCCTACCTCCAAGTATAGGATTGTCATAGAATCATAGAGTTGTAAGGGACTTCCAGAGTCAACTAGTCTAACCCCCTGCACAATGCAGGAAATTCACATATACCTCCACACCTGCAATGACTGCTGTTCCACAGCCAGAAGATTACAAAAACCCTCCAGGATTGCTTCCTGACCCCAAAGTGGCAATCACCATTAACCAGGGCATGTAAAAAACGGGCCATGAGAACTAAGCACTGAGGCAACCCGTCCTGCCCTCCCTCTCAAGATCTGCCTAAGTTCACAGAATCCGCATTGCTGTCAGATGGCCATATAGCCTCTGCCTGAAAACCTCCAAAGAAGGAGAGCCCACCACCTCCTGAGGAAGCTGGTTCCACTGAGAAACTGCTCTGTCAGGAAGTTCTTCGTAATGTTTAGCCAAAAACTCTTCTGATTTAATTTCAACCTGTTGGTTCTGGTCTGACCTTCTGGCATAACAGAAAACCACACCATCCTCTAGATGGCAGCCCTTCAAGTACTTGAAGATGGTGATCATACCACCTCTCAATCGTCTCCTCTCCAGGCTAAACATACCCAGCTCCTTCAACCTTTCCTCAGAGGACTTGGTCTCTAGACCCTTCACCATCTTTGTTGCCCTCCTCTGGACATGATCCAGCTTGTCCACATCCTTCTTAAATTGTGGTGCCCAAAACTGAACACGATACCCTAGATGAGGTCAACTCTGGATTGAGAAAATGAGGGGTGGAGCCTGCAGAAGGCAAGGTTTGGACAGGGGAAGTAACTCAGTGTGAATCCGATTCCATAAAGGCTGCTCTCCAAAGCTGCCATTTCCTCCAGGCGAACTGATCTCCATCATCTGGCAATCATAAGAACATAAGAGAAGCTGTGTTGGATCAGGCCAGTGGCCCATCCAGTCCAACACTCTGTCCAAAGCATCACGACCCCAGACATAGTATAATTCTGGGAGATCTCCAGATCCAATCTAAAAACTGATAACTCTACCTCATGCCTCTGGCCGTGCTCAGGTTTCAATACCTGTTACGGAAAGGAAAGCAAAACTTCAGTCCACAGTATTTTTTTTCCCAGCTGGCCATCACATCACCAAGATTCCCCTTTCCAGGCACAATGGACATCATTTAGATCAGGGGTGTCAAACATGAGGCCCAGGGGGGTGGATGAGGCCCCCGGAGGGCTTCTCTCAGGCTTTCAGTGAAACTGGCCGTCTTCTGCTTCTTCTTCCAGTTCAGCTGCTGCTGCGTCATTGTAGGTTTGCATTTTGTAGATACATACTTGAACAGCATACTCAAGATCGCAACAGCGCAGACATTTTGATGCAATAATTCAAAGCAAGAGGTTCAGTTATCAGCCACTGTTATATAAACAAAATATTGCGAGAGTGCTAATGTTTTAAACATGTTTTTTAAAGTGAAAAACCCCTTTGTGTTTGTGTCCTTTATCAAGTTTATATCTCTGCTGCCTGGCATTACATTTTATGACCCACATGGCCCGGCTCAACAGGGTCTCATTTATGCCAGATCTGGCCCTCATAACAAATGAGTTCAACACCCGTGATTTAGATGGATAGTCCTCACTCATCAATGCATAATGAATGTAGAAAAAAATACATTTGGGGAGGGGGAATTGTGTGGCAAAAGCACAAAATAGCACCACAATAAAAACCATGACTTCGATTTGCACCAGGGAGAAACAGAACTGTTAACACAGCCTGGTTTTTTTACAGTTGAAATGGCAGGGATTAAAAAGATCGTCTACCCTTTTAAGGCTGTGACAAAGGGATCGTCTGGTGACTAGATTGTCCTAGGTATTAAATTAGTATTTAACCTGATGGGGGATAGTCAAAGGACAGGTATAAAGGCCTCTTTATAAAGGCATAGCTGACGGGAGAGTCGGTCGTGGGGAAATCCGCGGTCCCCCTTATTCTGCAGATACAAATTCTCATCCCGGCAACGTGAGTTCGAGCGAGAAATAAAGGCTAAATTCTGAAGAGTGATGGTCGTAAGTCACTGGAACAGATTACCAAGAGATGCAGTAAATTCCCTATCACTCGGAGTCCTTAAATCAAGACCGGGGGGCCCTTCTAACAGGTACCCTGCTGTCATTTATCCCGAAGCCTTGACAGAGGCATTACGGAGCAAACCTCGATTGCCACATTCGGTGGGAAGGTCATAACAGATGATTGTGATAGTATCTTATGACTTTATTTAAAAGAGACCCGCGGATTTATAAAGCTTTCACAGAGCAAGGATTTTAAACAGTATTCCTGGATGTCACAGATCTGGGGGTCAGGAAGCAGCATCGCTCGGTTCTTTAGTAAATGATGGTTCACTGGACAAAGGATTCTCCTCCACAGCACATTGAGAATCTGATTAACTATCTCACGTGAATATTATATCGCACTGCTTTCCGGTGGGTAGCCATGTTGGTCTGCAGTAGACAAACACGATATGAGTCTAGTAGCCTCTTAAAGACCAACAAGATTTCCAGGATCTAAGCATTTGAGAGTCAAAGATCCCTGTGTCAAAATACAAGTAGGAACAGAGAGCCCTGAACCTGTTTATCCCAGTCAGATGGTGGGAAGGGTGCCACAAAGAGAGAAGTCAGGGTATAAAGGTACAACGCGAAATGAAATCAGCATTTCTGCACAGCTCTGATCGAATGGATTCGATTTTGCATTGGAGCTTTGTATCCTGAGCCCCTTCTCTGCAGCACCCTACCCACCTTCTAATAATAATAATTAATCATTACTATCATATGACATTGTGTGTAGAATAGCCAGGAGATCCTAAGATTGTCTTGCAGCTGGAAGTTCTAGCTCCTTCAGTATTACGCACCACTAGATGGTGAGCGAGACTCATTTTCTTTCAAGGCTAGAGATGTTTCGGAGGTGGCTTGCCATTGCCTGCCTCTGTGTCTGCCCCTGGCATTCCTCGGAGGTCGCTCCTCCAAGTACTAGCCAAGGCGCCAAGGTCGATCCCGCTTAGCTTCTGATATCTGAAGAGTTCGGACTAGCCTGGGGTATCCAGGTCAGGGTCCCGCCTTCTGACAGAGTATATTCGCTCAGGGATCTCCATTCCTACTTGTATCTGATGAAGGGAGCTTTGATTCTCAAAGTGTTGACTCCCTGAAAATCTTCTTAGTCTTTCAGGCATGGCCGGACTCAAATCTTTCTCTTGTATTTCAGCAGTAAATGCATATTTGCCACCCAATCCGGAATAAAGAGACAGACAACAGTGTTGGGTACTAATGGGCCACTTTTATTTAACCAAAACAAGCATAACGGCATAAAGTGTCCAAAGGGGCAAACAGATGCGGCATGGTCAAGGCCAGGGGTTTGAAAACCCCTCCCTCGCCAATCGATCTTAGGGCGAGCCACCAAGCCCCAGAAGCGAGCCAAGGGTATGGCTTGCTTCCGGTCAGCAGGCCAGTGTAATTGCAGGAACCAACCCAACCCCCGAATTGCAAGGCTCAAAGGGAGGAAAAATCCCTGCAATCCTTAGGCAGTCTGTTTTCCCCGCCCCGAGCCGCATGGCCCAAAGGCTGTACTTACAAGACCCCTATGCCCCCAAGTGGGGTTATAAGCCGGTGCTCACCGTGCCGCAATCTGTAACTGAATAACACCCTGCCAACCCAGTCACCAACCTATTTAAACCCAGCCTCACCCGACAAAACACCATCACCCATTCCAGTGCAAGATAGGCAAAAACACTCCCCCCCTTTTGGCCAATACAGAAGGGAGCGAAAAACTCCTACCTGGCCTCCAAAAAGACGACCGGCAACACGTGCACTGCAACAGGGCGGGAGGGTGGGCCGAGCACGAGGAGCCGAATGAAGAGGAGAGGCCAGGGGCTGGCTTAAGAACTTCCGGCCCCGCCCCCTCAGAAAACCCCGGATGTAGCCCATGCTGCTTTAAGCTGCCTCATCCTCCTGGGCGGCAAAGGCGGTTTACGGGTGCCCTGGCCGAAGGTAAACCGAATTTAATGAATTTTCATTTATGTTGAATCTCTCCCCCCCCCCTACATTTGTGTGGCCGCTGTCCCCAATTTGTTACTTCTGTATCAACGTGTGCCATTTCTTTGCCATACGCACATTTCGGGTCAGTCGCTCACAGTCAGCCTAACCTCCCTCATCGGTTCTGTGGATAAAACAGTGTGGATAAAACAGTGCGTGCCGCCCTGACATTCAACAAAGACGGAGGCTTTGAAAGTGTACTATTTCCCTTGGTTTTCTTCTTCTTCTGCCTTTCTCCTCGATGCTCCAGGTGAAAATGAAACTTGAAGCACCAAGTTCCTCTTCACAGACCGTACTTTCGTGGCTTGCAAAACTTCGTCTATTTCGGTCTCTAGCAACCAAATTAGTGAAACTGAGCCAGATGGCTACTTTGATCATTCCAGATGGGATAGCTTCCCTTTACGTATATACAAATGCTTCGGGATCCTATCCACATGGCCATCTGCAAGGATGGTATTTGAACGCTCTCCTCGAGGCTGTGTAATTGCCTTGGGGAATAGAGGGTAGGTACATGAGGAGGATTAGGAAAAAGCCATTGCAAATCTCCAAATGTTCAACAGGTTCTGTAGAGCGTTTCTCTTCCACTGAGATGACAAACCTGTAATGCCGTTGCTTAGCTGACCAAGGCTTATAAA